GATCCCCGACTCCCGCCCGCCGCGCACCTCCGCTCGCCTGGCTCCAGCCGCCGCCGCACGGTGAGTACCCGCGTGCGGCCGCTCGCCGCCCCCAGAGCCGGGCCCCGGCGCCTGTTTCTTGTTTAGTTCTGATGTGAGTTCTTGTGGCTGTTGTTTTTATTTTTCTACCTAACGGGTCTACAGCCTGGCTTGTGCCGTTGCCCGCTGCGCGCCTCGTCGCCCACCCCGAGCTCACCCCTTAAGCCCCGGAGCGGACCAGGGTTCTCCGAGCCGGCCCTGGCTGCGGCTCCTTATCGCTGCGTACGGCCCCTCTTCCAGGCTTTCCGCTCTGGCCCCCGAAATTCTCTTCCTTTCCCAGGGCCCGTCTTCTCCTGACACCGGGGCCCAAAGGCCCCTCGCCTCTCTCAGGAAAACCGCGCAAGGACTCAGGGCCCTCGGCTTAGGTAGGACGCATTCGGCTCGGGGCGCTCTCTTCACTGCATGCGGGCCGGGCACACTCGCCGATTTCGGGAAACCGGGAAGCCATTGTCATTTCCCAGAGCCGCGAGCTCCGGGCCACCTCCTGAGCCCGCTTGAGAGTCCCCCAGAGGGGCGCGGGGCTTCCCTCGCTGACCTTTCAGCCGGAGAGTTAGGACAGTGGCTTTGCCTTCTAAAATGCTACAAGGGACTTCAACGCGAAAGGAGGGTCAACTTGTTTCAATTCGATCCGCAGAGATAAAAATGAACAGGCAGATAACAGATTAATAGCTTGATAGTTGAAGAAGGTATGAAGACAGATGGGAGAAAGAGGAGCGAGCTGGAAGAGACAGACAGCTCAGGGGCAGATAAGATCGACAGATGACAGGCACCTAGACAAACAGGGAGGGAGGCAGGCAGAAGACCCAGTCTCCTCGCTGAAGGCTTTGGACCGAGCATCGCCTGTCTGGCTGGAGCTGCCCTCTGGAAATGGCTTTGCCTTTCTGGCCGAGTTTAGGCGATGAGGCCCCCAGAGTTAGGCTGCTCGGGCTGCAGCAGCGCCTGGTCCGAGGGCCGAGTCAGAGCCTTACGTGTCTGAGGACACGTGGCTGGGCCGGGAGACCTATAGGTCCCCAAGCTTCAGGCCCTAGTCCCCTCCCCCACTTTGCGGCTGCCGCCCTTCCTCGGCCAGAGAGCAAAGCGCGGGACCAGCAGCAACTTTGTGCCTGGAGATTTGCAGCAGCTTTGGAGAGCAGCCGAGATCCTCAGCCCTTGTGAGCTGGGACAGCCAGGCGTGGAGTGGAGATTCCCCCAAAACAGGAAGCCCAGAGACCTGGGAGTCTGCACTTGGCCTGAGCAGGAAGGGCATATATGAAGGAGAACACTCAGGACTGGACCCTTGGAAGTGAAGGAGAAGCGGCTCCCGAGAAACTTCCTTGAGAACCTCTTTGTCCCACGCGCTAATCCCAATGGAAACCAGCTTTGATCTGGAACGTGGCTGAAAACGTGGCTAGGAACTGCGTGAGCCTGGTCCCACTGATGGCTAGAGGGGGAAAACGGTTTCTATTCCCAGCCGTAATCTTTCTGCTCAACGAAAGCGGGGCGCCGGGCGTGGGAAGAGAAGCTCGGGTTTGTAGAAAGCGGAGCTGTTGTCCCGGCGAGCGGATTCGGCACCGAGCTGGATGCGGTGGGGGCCGCTCTGGGGCTGGGCGCGCACAGCCAGTTCTGTAAGGGTCGGGTTCAGCACCTCGAACAGCAGTCGGCTCCTACTTCCCTCTCCCCACCACCTCGGGTCCCTCCCCTCATCCCCCCCACCCCCTCGCCCGCTGCCCGCTGTCTGGAGATGGGAGATGGGCAGTGACCGCCCCTCCCCCGCCTCCCAACCCCTCCCCGCGCTGGCCCCGGCCCGCCCGCGTGCATGCGCGACTGAGCAGAGGGGCGGCAGGTCCCCGAAGTCCAAGCTTCAGGACCCCGGCCGGCAGGGTGGGCTGCGAGGTTGACCGAAGAAGACGCACGGATCTGGGCCCCGGGAAGCCTGGATTCGGCAATGGCTTTGCTGTGTGGCCTTGGGCAAGTCACTCTCGGTCTCTGGGCCCCACTTCCTCCCCAATCTGTAAACGAGATTGGCTTCCTAACAGCTTGGGCCTCCCTGGAGTCTCCATTACTCCTTCTCCTTCCCCAAACCCCGGGGGCTTCTGTTCCGGCGCCAGCACGTGTCTGAATAACAAAAGGCGCCCATCCAGGGGGGCGAATGAGCTTGGATTCCCCATCGCCAAGTTTCCCCGCGAGCCCGACTCTGCGCGCCCCGCTGGGCGGGCCCGAGCGGCGGCGGTAACGGCGGCGGCGCTGAAAATGGCTCATCTGCTCTCTGCTTTCTCTGTTTCGCAGGAGCGGCGGCATGGAGGCTCTCACCACTCAGCTGGGGCCGGGGCGCGAGGGCAGCTCCTCGCCCAACTCCAAGCAGGAGCTGCAGCCCTACTCGGGTTCCAGCGCTCTCAAACCCAACCAGGTGGGCGAGACGTCGCTGTACGGGGTGCCTATCGTGTCGCTGGTCATCGACGGCCAGGAGCGCCTGTGCCTGGCGCAGATCTCCAACACTCTCCTCAAGAACTACAGCTACAATGAGATCCACAACCGCCGCGTGGCCCTGGGCATCACGTGCGTGCAGTGCACGCCGGTGCAGCTGGAGATTCTGCGTCGGGCCGGGGCCATGCCCATCTCGTCCCGCCGCTGCGGCATGATCACCAAGCGAGAGGCCGAACGCCTGTGCAAGTCGTTCCTGGGCGAGCACAAACCGCCCAAGCTGCCCGAGAACTTCGCCTTCGATGTGGTGCACGAGTGCGCGTGGGGCTCGCGCGGCAGCTTCATCCCCGCGCGTTACAACAGCTCTCGTGCCAAGTGCATCAAGTGCGGCTACTGCAGCATGTACTTCTCACCCAACAAGTTCATCTTCCACTCGCATCGCACACCCGACGCCAAGTACACTCAGCCCGACGCCGCCAACTTCAACTCGTGGCGCCGTCACCTCAAACTCAGTGACAAATCGGCCACAGACGAGCTGAGCCACGCGTGGGAGGACGTCAAGGCCATGTTCAATGGCGGCACGCGCAAGCGGACATTCTCGCTGCAAGGAGGCGGCGGGGGCGGCGGTGCTAATGGCGGGTCGGGTGGGCAGGGGAAGGGTGGTGCTGGCAGTGGTGGCGCGGGTGGCCCCGGGTGCGGCGCAGAGATGGCCCCAGGCCCGCCACCCCATAAGAGCCTGCGCTGTGGCGAAGATGAGGCGGCCGGGCCTCCGGGGCCGCCTCCTCCCCACCCGCAGCGCGGCCTTGGCCTAGCGGCTGGAGCCGGCGGCCCCGCGGGCCCTGGAGGGCCTGGTGGTGGCGCCGGGGTACGTAGCTACCCCGTGATCCCGGTGCCGAGCAAAAGCTTTGGCCTCCTGCAGAAGCTGCCCCCGCCGCTTTTTCCTCATCCCTACGGTTTCTCCACGGCCTTCGGCCTCTGCCCTAAGAAGGACGACGCGGTGCTGGGTGCGGGCGAGCCTAAGGGCGGCCCAGGCACCGGGAGCGGCGGGGTTGCTGGCACTGGCGGGGGCGCAGGGGGTCCAGGAGCTGGCCACTTGCCCCCGGGGGCCGGGGCAGGCGCTGGCGGCGGCGCCATGTTCTGGGGACACCAGCCCTCTGGGGCAGCCAAGGACGCAGCGGCCGTGGCCGCCGCAGCGGCCGCCGCCACTGTGTACCCGACGTTTCCCATGTTCTGGCCGGCGGCAGGCAGCCTCCCGGTGCCGCCCTACCCTGCCGCGCAGAGCCAGGCTAAGGCAGTGGCGGCCGCCGTGGCGGC